GAAAAGGGGGGTAAAGTGGGTTCCAGAGACAAAGTTTGCCGACCTTGACTTTGCAGACGACACTGCGACATAGCGGAAAACACCAGAGATCTCCAACCCCTAGTGACCAACATAGTCCGTCTGCAGGCAGCATTGGGCTCAGCATCAGGGCCATCAATTGAAGCAATTAACATGCTGATAGGGACACACGCTCCTCTTAGAAGTGTGACCATTGACGAGAACAAATTGAAAGTGGCGGAGAACTTCACCTACCTTGGGAGCTCCATCAACAACAAAGGACAGATGGACAATGAGCTAGACTGTAGACTTGGAAAGGCCTCAGCAGCCTTCAACCAGCTTGACTTTGAAACCTACTATGTGGAAATCAGCCAAGAAAAGAGACTGGAATCACTGGATGCTTCTGATAGTGAATGCGTGAGGAAGATCTTAAGCATCAGACGACAGGACTTCATACCAAACACAGATATAAGAGCCAGAGCTAACCAACAGCCAGTGTCTACAATCATACGCAAGCGGCGTTTCATGCTAGAAGACGTCTGTCATCTAGACTTAAGTAAAATTAGAATTGTCTTTCAATATTGAACAGGTTTTGGGTCAGATAAACTATACCAAGGCATGTGCGTTTGCATGGAACATGGGTCGGAATTAGGACCCCTCCTTGCTGGCAGCCAGGTGCGTCAATGACAGACAAGGCCCAAATTTGCATATGTAGCAAAAAATAATGGTTCTATCTTTACTGAAATGGCTTAATTTAATTCGTTATCCCTCAAAAGATGGGGATAGACACCAAAATTATTCTGGTACCATGAGTAGTTACTGAGATATTGACGAAAACTGGATTTTCAGTAATGGCCACCTTAATTTGCATATTGTGCGAATTGCCCAAGGATGACAGAGTGGCATCATTCAGATTCTGAAAGAGCACACCTCAGAGATATAGAAACAACAAAAAAACTTTGTATGGACCGCATTGCAAGGTTTTCCAAAAATCGGGGGTTTGGCAACCGGACTATAAAGGTATCGGTGTAAAAATAAGTAACAAGAAACTGCCTAAATTACAAGTAAGTCATCGCATAGCCCAAGTAAAAAAAAAGTAAAAAAAAGTAGGAAAATTAAAAAACACCGATGTCCACTAAAACACCTAGAACATGTCCGACTTGAATGGGTCATTGTGACAATCGGCGTTTAAATTGCCCAATGTGTTGCCAATGATTCTCTACACATGAATGGTAAACATGCAAGCCAGAAAAAACATGAAAGACATATTTGTTCACACTGTACATTGCGTATACGTAGAAAATGCCACTTAGTTTACAATAGTGGGTTGTTGTATGATCAAAACCAAACACATGTGCGCTACTCTATGGTTACGTTTTGCATTAACTTGCAATTGTGTACGAACAGGTTTTTCAAACATATGTCTCTTTAGCCCATAATTCGTATACATTCATTCAGTCGCAGAGCGTTACCTGCTCCGTATACTCCGTGTACTGTCGGATTTTCATCATACCTACTACGCGAGCTGTCGGATATTAAGTCGGCGTCACGTAGCAGGCAAATAACTCTGCCGACAAGTCTGCAAGCTCAAAGGCACTGGAATGCGACCGGTATCCTCTTGATCATTGTTCGATTCGTAATCAGTATCGCCGGTATAACCTCCCTTCGGCGTAACACACCAGCTTTGCTGGTACGCGGCGCGACGGCAGCTGGCTTAGCTAGATTTCACCGAACGACTTGTTAAAGCCAACCTTTGCATCTACCTACCGGAGTTGTTTAAAGCTATCTAGTGATGATGCCCAACTATATATACTTGGTGCCAGTGAGTTCTACTCTACGCTAGTCCCATCCAATGTAACAGGGTGGATTTTCAGGTGAAAAAAAACACGCTCGGTGCTGTTGTGACTTGGAATTCGGCGACCTTTGGCCGAGCAACAATTCGGTCCAAGGTCGATGATACTCTTCAAGCAGAGATTTAGGATTCGGCTTATTTTGGGCGTGTTTTAGGCGTTCTATCGGGCACGGTTTTTGTAGTGACATATTTTTTTTGACGCCAGCCTAACGGTCGCAATTGATAACTGCATGACAAATTGATACTGTCTGGTCAATCTGATACTGTCTTTGCAACCCAGCCACCAGAAGATCTGCTTGGAGATTAGGTCACTGACAGAGTGACACGAACGTTATAAAACAGTTGGAATTATCAAGGGACATACTGAGTCTGGTGCAGCTGTAACGTTATAACTAAGTCATTTTACAACAACAACAACAACAACAGCTTCTTTCCCCGGACTGCAAAACTATGGAACTCTCTTCCAAACAGATGCTTTCCATCCGACTACAATCCACAAAGCTTCAAAACAAAGGTCCACCGCCATCTCCTGATATAACTACATTATACTCCTTTAAGTACCTCTAGCTCTATGCCTAGAAGTGGCCAAAAATAATTGGCCTTGCATTGAGCGACACCGTTAAAAAACGACTGCGAACATATATAAGTTTTGTGTTCTACATAAATATAGATTAATATAGATACAGTTGTGACGTACCTGCTGCTTTCCTATTTTCATAAAGTTCCTCCAATTCGTCACCTTCACCCGGCAGACCCGCTTGTGCCGACGACCCGGTGCTTTTCGCGCTCTCCTGCACACACGGCGGTTTCTTCTCTGCTCTCTCCTGGAGTTTGTAGGTATTTCCGTCTTCAATGTCCGAATTCCCAACCACTTCTGTACCGCAAACTTCCATAGCGTCGCTTTCGATCGTGTCGTCTTTGCTGTCTCTCCCGTGCGTGGAAGGATTTTCCGTATCGTCGCTTCACTGTAGTTTTCTCCTCTCCAAGTCTAGCGCAGCAGTAGCGCTAATACGTCTCACGGCGATATTTTAGCACTGTTGGCATGGAGAGGAAATTCCAAACTACGTCATTTGGGCGTTGATCGTGGGTTATGGGTTAAAGTTAGAGTTATTTCTTCCAAATGTAATGAGTCTGCTACCTTTTATTTACTATAAGGCCGTATCGTCTTAATTTTATGGATGACATCCGCGCGCGCATTGATTTTTGCCTGTTCTCCAAAAAAAAAAAAGATCAGGTCCACCGAGGCTCTGTCCTGGCTCTAGGCCTGGGTAGTCCATGGTAGTTAGCGACAATATGAAGCCGGGCACCCAGGCTACCGAAGCCCCACGATTCAAGAACTCAGTAATACGTACAGTGCCGATTCATAAATTCCGCTAAAATCTAGCATTTGCCGGCTTGTCGTATACGTCGCTATGTACTACTACCAGCTTTGTATTCCTGTGGTTTAGTACCATTTTTGGGCCAGATTTTTTTATTCGCCCGCGCGAACTAGTTTGGGGGTCTTCGGAGGTTGTCATTGATAAAATCAAGTCGGTGTGGCCTAAGTAATCACAGGCTTTGTTGCCATCATCACTGAAAACATCACAATTCAAAACACGCCTTTTTGTCGTCGAGAACACCTGACTTGTGTGAAAGTATTTTCCAGTAAAGGCTGTTTGATCTGTTTGTTGCCGTAAACATTACCTAAAATTGGACTTCAGTAGCTATTATAGTTCATTTGCTGTTCTAGGATATCAACAACGTAGAACGAATGGGAATTTGGTTCGGAAGTAGACTCTAACTTACATGGGCATCATATTGAAGTTTATTTAGTTGTCTTCGTTTAATCTTAATTAGGCCCTTGCGTTGGGCAACTTAAAAGAGTTACATATTGTCTTCGTCAGTTTGTTTGTTTGTTTGTTTGTTTACATGCAACAGTGCATGACAAGTGGCAACCAGGCAGCAACAAGGCTGGGAGCGGCTACCACTGACACATAATTGCATAAATACAAGGCATATCAAAATACAATATTACTTAGTACGTACAAATTCAATTCAATATTATATAATATTTGTCAGTTTTGCTTGATAACGATAAGTCTGAAATCAACCTTGCGAAAAAAAAGTGAACTGAAATCTCGCGCAGGCGCGGGGATGGTCGCAGGCACAGCACGTTCCAGAATGTCAAGAATCGAATTTTCGAATTCGAACCCGCGCCTGGCAACCGGATTCTATTTACACAACACCCGTCAGCGAAGCCCGAGTTTTGAGGCACGTTTTTTACGTACTCCTTGGCAAAGATGGGGATTTTGAAGAAGTTGGTGATATTATACCTACTGTCGTGCCTGGTTGATGACAAGCACGAGAAGTTGAGGACTCTGATAGCTCACATGCCGCTGAAGGACGCTGTAGGACTCCGCCTAGTGGAGAAACTGCCCGTCTTCGAAACCACCAAAGACTCGCTGCGAGTTTATCAGGTACGAAAGACACGGACGACAACTTACGCACGGTACCTATTTAGTTAGGACATGCATGCTAGTGTGTGGTTAGTGTTCGGCACCAAGGACAGGCATGTTAGAGTGTGGATAGTGTTCGGCACCAAGGACAGGCATGTTAGTGTGTGGATAGTGTTCAGCACCAAGGACACACATGTTAGTGTGTGGTTAGTGTTCGGCACCAAGGACAGGCATGTTAGTGTGAGGTTATTGTTCAGCACCAAGGACAGGCATGTTAGTGAGTGGATAGTGTTCGGCACCAAGGACAGGCATGTTAGTGTGTGGATAGTGTTCAGCACCAAGGACAGGCATGTTAGAGTGTGGATAGTGTTCGGCACCAAGGACAGGCATGTTAGTGTGTGGTTATTGTTCAGCACCAAGGGCAGGCATGTTAGTGTGTGGATAGTGTTCAGCACCAAGGACAGGCATGTTAGTGTGAGGTTATTGTTCAGCACCAAGGACAGGCATGTTAGTGTGAGGTTATTGTTCAGCACCAAGGGCAGGCATGTTAGTGTGTGGATAGTGTTCAGCACCAAGGAAAGGCATGTTAGTGTGAGGTTATTGTTCAGCACCAAGGACAGGCATGTTAGTGTGTGGAAAGTGTTCAGCACCAAGGACACACATGTTAGTGTGTGGATAGTGTTCAGCACCAAGGACAGGCATGTTAGTGTGTGGATAGTGTTCAGCACCAAGGACAGGCATGTTAGTGTGTGGAAAGTGTTCAGCACCAAGGACAGACATGTTAGTGTGTGGATAGTGTTCGGCACCAAGGACAGGCATGTTAGTGTGTGGTTATTGTTCAGCACCAAGGACAGGCATGTTAGTGTGTGGATAGTGTTCAGCACCAAGGACAGGCATGTTAGTGTGAGGTTATTGTTCAGCACCAAGGACAGGCATGTTAGTGTGTGGTTATTGTTCAGCACCAAGGACAGGCATGTTAGTGTGTGGATAGTGTTCAGCACTCCAAGGACAAATTGTGTAGATAGTTTCTATCAGTCTTCCAGAAGGAAATACTTCTTTTTTTCACACTTCATTCTTATTTGTCAGTCAGGTTTGCTGTACCGTTACTTTCAATCTATCTGGATTGCGATATGAAGTATTTCCGTATTTCATCTTTCTTTTCGATAATGCGATACAGAATCGAAAGAAACAAGTTCTTTTGTGTTTTCCATTGTTTGTACATTTCTCTTCATGATCACCCCTGTATTGTTTGGTAAAACAGATCACAGACAGCAAGACTTTCATATCTGCGTATGTCCAACCGTCTGACACCGGAGGTCTGGGCAGACTGGTCCGCTGTTACCTGTACAAGGACAGGAGCCGTGACGTCATGATGACGACTCTGACTGACTACGGCTGGAAGGACCATGATGCAGTCATGAATGTCGTCACTGATGCTAACGACGTATGGTGAGTTGTTCTGTGTTTTTTTTTATATTCCGAAACATGTAATCACAAGACGTGGTGAAGGCACACTCAAGTTTTTTAAAACTTATATTAATGCCGCCACCAACACAGGGGACAACACAATACTCATTTTCACCTGAGCGAAGTGAGGAAAGTCATGTAAAGTGCCTTTCCCAAGGGCACAAGATCGGTGGCATGTCAGGACTTGAACCCGGGGCCTCTGGTTCCGAGTCGAGAACACTGCCGCTACGCCACACGACCCCACCTGTGTTTATACTACAGCGATAGCTTTAGTGTATGTAGTGCTGCCAGAGGTCCTTCAACTTGTTTTGATTCATCACCTCTCCCCGTCCTTTGAAATGTTTTATAGCCCCCGATGGTTTGATGATCTTTCCCCCTTATCCTTCAATCCATCACGTCTCCTTATTCCCTTCCGTAAAATGTTAAACTTGAAATGAAAGCCTTATAGCAGCACTGCTTCCATTCTTGACTCTTGTAAGAACCACTACTTTTCTCTGCTGTACAAACCATATTTACAAGAGTGAAATATGAGTTTTCAGACAGAATTCTTGATCTGTAGCGTTTTATACCTTTTATATTAGTACATTCATGTACCTCGGTATCGGAAATGCGTATTGGTACAGAATTCTACTTACCAAGCAGAAGTTTACTCCAGTGTATTTCTTTGGCGTTTGTGTCTGGCTTTTTGTACTGGAATTTGTACGCCCAAAGAGCTGATAAAAACACCTAAAAACACACCAAAAATAGGCCGAAGCTTACACCTTTGCTTCGATAGTAACAAAGCTGTACCTCACACTGAAACATTTTTCGAAATTCCCACCGTATACCACAAACCCATGCTGTACGACATCCCCCCAACAATAATAAAGTGGTTTATTGTCAACTTGACTGAAATTGTCTACAGTTTGCAGCCACATGCGTGGCTGAATTGATGTAAGAACATTACAACAATTTACTAGTAGTAGAATTACAGTTCACTTACATAAGTACACATTAGATTAACGCATTAAAATAACAGAGTATTATAAGATGTAAAATGACACAGTATTAAATCTTGTTAAAACGCTTAAACTTTGGATCGATTAAAAGTCAATGTCAATATTGCACATTAAAAGTCGATGATAGTACTAAAACAAGATGATAGTACTAGTATGTAATCATATGTAATCATTGTGCCTTGAGAAGTGTGACAGGCTGAATAAAAGTTCTAAACGGGAACAATGCGGCTCCAGATGTCTTACTGAGGGACGACTGCGTGTGCAAGATGTCGGTAGCTTGAGGAATGAATCCCCTCTACTATATACGACATCCCCTCCAGGCGCTACAGTTACCTGCTGGACAGCTGTTTCTGGCTCCGCGAGGGCCGTCACTTCGACGAGCTGGCCGAACTCCCGCCGCCTGACCCGCTCACCTGGCTGCTCCAGGCCGGGAGGAACATCTACAAGACAACCTTCAGTTACTTCAAGGACGCGGGGAAGACATCAGGTCAGTGTCTGGATCTTCTGTACTTCGAGTGAGATCTATGATTCGGGGTCAATGATTGGACCAGACCTGGAACATAGATCCAAATATTAATATTTTCAAGAATATATATATATACTATATAGCAAGGATAGTCTGCTTTGTGCTGTTACATAGATCTCACGAAGCGTTCTTTTTTTTTTTGCTCCAGACCTGCGCATGGATGACCGTACACAACCCACAACACCGAAGAGTGGCTTCATGGAATACCTGACTACAACTTTCTGGCCTGAAGACGTGAAACCTGACACTGATCATGGTCAGTACAGACTAAAGCCTCGGTCACAACCCGCCGTACGTGCTTCTGCGTGCTGTCTGCGTGCAAAAACGTGGGCAAACGTAGGGCATCCGTGCGTGGTGAGTACCGCCTCCGTACGGAATCCTATGAATTTGGGAGCACGCAGACAAGCCGTAGAACTTTAAGTGCATGTAAAACTTTTTCTGCGTGCGGTCTGCGGATTCACGACCCGTGCGTGCGAGTACGTACGAGCGACGCGCGTGCCGTACGTAAGCAGCACGTGTGAGTACGGCCTCCTTACGGTAAAGTTGCAATCGCACAGAGATCGTATGTTGTAAGCACCTACAACTCACTTACCACTTGCGCAACGTACGTTGCACGCAACCGATCACGGCCAGACGTAGCACGCAGACCACACTCTTACACCTTGTGCAACAGTGCGAGTAACGTGCGTAGACGCCACTCCTTCCCACGTCTTCAGAAAAAAACGTAGCAGACGTAACCTGCCAAAAAAACGTACGGACAAAAAGCACGTACGGCGAGTTGTGACCAGGGCTTAACAGTTGTTACTTCCGGGTAGAGGTTCTCTTGCTTGCTGACCCGTATGTGAGATTAAAAGAGAAGCCCTGTAACTAGACTAGTTGACCAGTAGACTAGTTGCCATGACTTATTAGTTTACAACATGCACAACAGACCAGGGGAATCGTGGAAGGAAAAATGAAACATAAATGTGCTACCTTGTCCTGATAACAAGTTCACGGGTTATCATAACTGATCTTGCTGATATATGACACATCAGCTCTGTTTTACGTGCCTTTCCTTGAAACTATGACATACAAAGCATTTTTGTCGACTAAAAACCTTGTACAACTGTATAACTTACAGACTCTGCGAAGGACGAAGATGCCGCAGATGGCTGGTTTACCAAACTCTGCCGCTCAGTCCGAGACAGTGTACCCACGGCTTGGCCTTCAGGTGACGTCACGTCAACTGTTCAAACTGGACAGACCGGCGGGAGAAATAGAGACAGCCCAGAGATTGGTAGGTAAACATAGTTGTCATCTAGTTCATGACTGTTTATAAACAGGTCACCTAAAATGACAGGGAATGTCTCCTCATTTGGTGAAAGCATGGCTTTCGAAGACGTGTTTTGGGCTTTGTTTTTTTTCTATGGCCACGGGCAGTTTTAAATCTGACTCATACATGTACTGTAATTTCTCCATGTAGTCCCTGACTATTTACATGTACCATATTACACAAATATATAAGGACACCTAAATTGACAAGGAACATCCTTTCATTTGGTGAAACAAAGGTTTCGACGACAAATGTTTCAAAATGGACTCATACTTGGATTTTTCATGTTCCAACAGCCTCAGAAGGTGATGAGTTCAGTACAGGCTTGTGGCACGGACTTCAACTCAACTACCTCATGGACTACATCACCACAGCCTGGACAGCTAAAGGGGGAGGGGGGGAAGTGATATGAAGTAGAAGTACATCACAAAATACATTAGTGCATATAGCAATTGTAACTTGAGGCAAACTCTCTTGCAAGAACCATGGAAAGAAGTAAAAGAAAAAGATGCCACAAGTGGTAACAAAAAAAAAACAGGCTCAATCCAGGATCTAGAATGAATGTATCAAATGTTGCTTTAAAGATGATGTTGACTGCAGCATTGTTGGAGCTAGTCACACAACGAAACGTTATAAACTTGGATAATTTTCAGAAAAAATTCTGTCAAAATGAAGCTGGCTGTTTTGCTCAGTGTGAGCTGTAAAACATTGTACTCAGTACAATGGAAGGATACCACAATGTTTTACCATTTTGGTGTCAATTTTGAGTCAATGACAGCTTTGCACTTAGCTTCCCCATATTTGTTTTCTTTATTCAAACTTCTCAGCTATTGATTGTCTGAATGATGCAAATTCTCCGTGAAGCCATCTATGACATGTATGTGGAATAAAATGTATGTGGAAAGCTTGCTCGTGTCTATCCATCTGCATGCTTTTTATTCGCTTGTATTCCTTGACATAATAGTATTCTGTGTGGAACGTGTTCAGCACCAAGCACAGGCAAGTTAAGATGTGTGGATAGTGTTCAGCACGACGACCAGGCAAGTTAAGATGTGTGGAAAGTGTTCAGCACCAAGGACAGGCAAGTTAACCTGTGAGGATAGGGTTCAGCAGTCTTTCATAAAGAAGGACTCAGCTTCTCACACTTTATTCTGAGTTACCAGTCTACGATCCGTCAACCGGTTCTTGAGTTATTCTCTTTTGAATATTTTCAAACAGATAGGCCTGCAGTTCCAGAGCAAGCCGCTAGGGGGCCCAAACTCACGTCACTTCTTTCCCAGCACAAGAGCTATCTAACATCTGAATTTCGTCACCCTACATCACGAAATATCAAAACCGACAGTTCACCTGCAGTGCCATAACAATCCGCTAGGGGGCCCAGAATTTAATCAGTTTGACGTCTCGTGAAGATCTATCCACTTACCAAATATCAAGACAATCCATCTTAGCCTTCTTGAGTTATCGTGCTGACACACACACACACACACACACACACACACACACACACACACACACACGCACACATGCACACACACACACACACACACACGAACGCGTACGAAAACATAACCTTGGCGAAGGTAAAAAGTGTACACGTCTGCCCCCTTGCGAAGGTCTATGTCATTGCCGTTTTACACTTCCGGGTCCTTCCACCAACCATATTACACGTATATGTCGACACGTACACACATGAAACGTAGAAACGGAATGCTAGCTATAGGATGATTTGCTTCGGCCTTTAACCCTGTAACTGAGGCCAACTCTTACAACAACTATAAATGCTACCACTCACAAAACGCGACTGTTAAAACATGCAGAAGCCGGATCTTAAGGTTTAGACTCCGATCTTGAGTAAACAAGGTGAAAGGTTATTCGCGGTCAACTTTTTTGTTGTGTCTGACGCAGCCTGTATCTGGGACAATATAAAACGGTCTGCGGGTCACGTACACAAGGTAGCGGTCTGCAGACGTGGCACAGAAACAACTTGCGTTCCAAGTAACGTTCCCAGGCCAGCTTATAACGTCTTGTGAACACGTAGCGCGGGTCCAGGTACAGCGAACGACCATGGATATGGTGATGTACTCGAGTGATTTGGCGGGAATCTTCGACAAGATGCCGCAGAAAGAGAAGAAACACAAGCGCACAGGCAGCTACGAGACGGCTGTGCACGGGAAGCCGAGGGGCCACGATCATCTGCACCATCTCCAGCGGGAGAGAGCGTACACAGACCCGTCCCACCACCGGGGAAACCACGGTCCGCAACACCGCCACAGGACCGCGTCCGAGTCGGCTACGGCCGAAGCTGGGTCGGCAGCCGGGCGGGAGAAACTGATGGAGGGTGCCGAGGGAGGGGCGAGCGCGGGGCCCGGGGAGAAAGCCGACCACAAACATCACCACGGGCTGCACCTGCCGCATCCACACATGCCACACATGCACCTGCCACATCCGCATGTGCACCTGCCTCATCCGCATATGCCACATGTACACCTGCCACATCCGCATATGCCACATGTGCATCTGCCACATCCGCACGTGCCTCAGTGTCTCAAACCAATGGACGGTAAGTTTCTGTCTATTATTGTCCAAATTTCACGACTCCAAATGAACAAATGATTTCACAAGTTGTACGAATGATTTCACAAGTTGTACATTAGTAATTACATTTAATTACAGCTGTAATTTCAATTAATTTTCTAGCCTTTTGTTGGCATGTAATGCTGATTCAGACACTAAAAAAACTGCATGCACAGAGTTACTCATGTTTTGGTTACAACTGTTGTTTATGTACGAGTAGAAACCTGCCACCACGAAAGTACACATACGTGAAATCATGTAATCATAAAAGTGCGCCAAGGGCTGTGTTGTCTACTTCACATCAGTACTTATAAATCAAGTAGTCAATATAAGGCCACACCAAATAAATTTTATGGATGACGTCCTTTGGAGACCCTAAATCTAATGCGAGAGGGCGAAAAAAAACAAGAAGGGCCCTAAAAAACAAGATGCCTAGATTAGAAATATACTTAGAGACGACAAATGTAAGGACACAAATTGAATGAGGTGACACAGTGTAGCAAGCAAGAAGTCTTTTATTGCTAAATCAGGTGGAACAGTGGATAGTGAAAAATTTTCTGTTATTGACAGGATGGTCCTGTCAATAGTGCAAATTTTCTGTTATTGATATACACTTTCAATATATATCAATTGACACTTTCTTCGCGTTACGGGTTTCACATCAATCTGGTGATTTGCGGCACTGTCGTGACTCTTTGGTCATAGTTACAGGAAGCGGAATTTCTTGTTTTTTTTCTAGGAACAGGCAAAAATCAATGCGCGCGCGGACGTCATCCATAAAATTTACTTGGTGTGGCCTAACCTAACAAACGAATGAAAGTGTTTTGCACGTTTTACAACATTTACATTGCACCCCCCTCCCCAAAACGTATTCTTGAACATGACCTTTGGAATAAAATATTTACCGAGGAAATTGTACCGTGTGCTGCCCCACGAACCACTCTCACTTGATGGGCAATAATACCCCCAATATTTCTATCAATATTGTATGCACCTACCAGTTTGACTTCTTTTGATCTAGCATTGGAGTCCCCAAAAATTATTTTCAGTGAGAAAATAGCAAAGAAGACATCAGAAAGTATTCTATAAAGATGGTACTTGTTTCCGTAGGACTGTCATAATGTTGTAAGCAACCAATTAAAGCATGAGGCTTTCTGGTCAATTGCTTTAATTTTCTTTACCTTTTCCAGACGACACGGAAGAAAACAAGGAACGTAAACAAGCGCAATCAATGCTACAGGCAGAATATTTCCCTTTCCCCTTCTAGGATATTAATGCTAAGGTAGGTTCGTAGTAACAAAGTTGGATAAGTAAGTTATGGCTTGTATATATGAACGACAAATATAGCAGGCACATGCACGTTCGTATCTTCTTGTCTATCCTTGGCTATTGCAATAGATATGACTTGCCCTTTTGTAAGTAAGCCACATAAAATCTTCAAACACTAAAAAATCTAGTATGTGTTGACCTGTATCAAAGAGAAGACTGGAACATAAGAACCAGGCAGACACAACAACGTAGGAATTAATATGTTTTCGTGCATTGGCATTTGGCCAGGTTCATTTTATCATATGGATGACTTACGCGCGCATGAATTTTTGACCGTTTCAAAAAAAAAGTTTTCCACCATGCTGTAAATCGTACAAAGCAGCTGCAAAATGAGCAAATATATGCCGTCATTTGCAAAATTAAAAACACTGGAAAACGATAGAGTCCATTCCGCGTCACCGAGTGGGTTTTTTTCTCCATGTTTCTAATACTTTTGAATTATTTAGAAGAAAAGAATACCCCAGTAACAAAAGTTCTGAATTTTTCAAAAATTTTAAAATGAAAATTTGAATATATTTGAATTCATTTATATATTTCTGAAACATTTTGAAAGTGACTGTACAAAGATCTCTTTATTTAGAATAAATTTGAACTACCCATGTGTTTCTTTCACTGTTCGAAATATTTAGAAATATTTCAAACAAATAACCAAATGGTAGATGTGGGTAATTGCCCCCATAAAAGTAGGTGCTAATCCTACTCTTCTGTAGTCTTCTGTATATTTTTAGATTTCACTGCTGGACACTGGTGGCTCTTTTGTTGTAAGGCATCAATGCCTGACACCCAGGCAGTCTACCCTGTACTTCACAGGGATGTATGAATTACTTCCTTCCCATCCCACTGACCTATTTACAAAATGTTAGAAATAATTCGAAATAATGGTAAAAAATGGTAGAGTGCTGTTAGAAATATTTAGAAACTATTGGAAATGTCATAATCCATATCAGGAATATTTCAAACGTTTTAGAAAACCAGGGAATTATTTAGAATATTGACAAGATGTTAAAAATATTTCCAAATTATGAAATTTCTTAGACAAACAATTACAAAGAATTCAAAACATTTCTAAATAATGACAATAACAACCCACTCGGTGACGCGGAATTGACTCTACTAATGTCGTAGAATACCAAAATCAATTCATCCAAAGGAAAGGAAGAAAATGTGAAGACATGGAAATGAAGAGTTTATCATTCCCCATACCATACTCTGTGTGTTAAGTCAATAATTTTGTTCAACATTCATGACCACGTAGATTTCATATGAAGACAACGTTATTTCAAACTTTTTTCTACTCGCACGCTCGCATCCCAGAGGATGTCATCCATATTATCAAATCAACATGGCCTGATGAAAACTCATGTTATCCCTCAAATGCTGTTACAGCCGCTAGCCATAGATACTCTGTAGTAAATATTATGGTGGTCTGACTTCGTTGTTTGTTCAACACATTTTCAGAGGTCACAGATCGACAGCTGGCGGTGAGGCCATAGGTTAACGATGTCACCACGTTTACAATTCCACAAGTCAACACCTACTACTACTGGGTGCTACTGAGGCTTGGCAAGAGTATCGCATTCCTAGCCTTGAGCCCCTCTCACACATTCACGAATTTGGTCTCCCCGAACGCTAGCCGAACGCCCCACAACCGTGGTCGGCGCAAAGTCGGCTAGGTCGGTAGTTGGTCGGTGAATTCGGTCACTATTCGGCTGCGAATGTTTCAAAATGTCTCGAGCTAAAGCAGTCAGGGGTTGGTCGGAAGGTTTGAATATGGTTGGTTGGTATTCGGCTATAAGTCAGTAGAACACAGTCAACAGTGTTCGGTGGTCAAAGTTCACTCAAAGTTAACTCAAATTCGTTTCGATTCGTAAAATCTTGTCAGACTTCGGGGGAAAGGTCGTGATGTGAAACAGGGGCTTGACGTATACGTTATTGAATGAGCGACCAAAGAAAAAGAATTATAAAGGAACTATTGTTTCATTCGCTGGTATGCTTTGTTACCAAAGAGTTATTAAACGTGGAAGGGACGCCATGTTTGGTTGAAAGAGAATTTGAACCAAACGAATAAGTTCTTGAACTTTGATACTATTAACAATAATTTCGCACTGAATACACTCATGTGTAATATACAGGTTTATTAAAGTACTTCAAAGTTATACCTTTTGCGGATATTGTATCTCAAGACTAGTATAAGGCTCCTAGAATAGTTATGAATGGGTTTGATGTCATGATTTTTGTGAGGCTGCTTTGACCTAAGGAGGTATCTCTTTAATACGATTAGAAATCATTGTATGACTATTTGATTGTTCATGTGTAACAATGTACTTATGACATGTTCACATAATGTATGATACCTCATTAAAAAGCTTCTGAAATTCATATGACTAAATATGACATTTCAGGTAATTACATTATAATTAACAAGCCATCTTCTCAAGGAGTACAAAAATGTATAATGTAATAACTGTACATAGGGCATTTTCAAATGTTTGTATCGAAAATAATTTTTGAAATGCTGTTGCATGTATGTAGTGTATGTAAATTATGTCAATTGTATGTATGTATGTAATTACATGTAATGAGCTACATTTTAAGCTCAAATTTGATGTGTAAAGGAACTGTAACATCTTGTTGTTGCGCTTTCAATTTTTAAGTGATACTTTTTAAGTTGATTTTTGAGACCTGTTTTGTTGACAGAGAGAGACATGTTATGAGACAATGGAGTCTTGTTGGCAGTCTTGGAGTCTTGTTTTAATATAATGCTACACAATAATTGAAACATAGGAAATACTACTAGTATGTGCAGTGTTACTTCTTTTGGTTAGCACTCTAGTTTATACAATAGGATCTTGCATGCCACCACAAAATACTTAAGGTAATCTTAAAGCTAGCCAGCTTACAAATAGCCAGTTTTAATTGCAATACAAATAGCCAGTTTTAATTGCAATACAAATAGCCAGTTTTAATTGCAATGGAATAGGAAACAAACGTAAAAGGAAAGAAGTTTTTACATGGTTGTCGGAAAAACCCTTTGAAATCATTTGCCTTCAAGAAACCCACTCTGAGGCTGACGATGAAAATGCGTGGGTCTCAGAATGGGGAGGATCCATTGTATTTTCTCATGGTTCAAGTAGTAGTAAAGGTGTGTCGATATTATTTAAGAGAGGTTTGGATTACAAAATGAAGGACAAAAAAGTTGATAAGGAAGGACGATGGATAGTGTTGGACATAATGATCGATGATTGCAGGTTTTGTTTGGTCAATGTGTACGGTCCAAACAGGGACGATCCGGACTTTTTTGCGGAAGTAGAGAGAGTCATACAAGGCGTAGACATTGCTATTGAAAACTTTATTATAGTTGGTGATTTCAACACCGTGCTGGATAACAAAACAGATAGAGCTGGCCAGAGGGTGCAAAATTATCACCCTCAAGCACAGGAAAAGATTCTAGACATAATGAACACATTAGACCTTGTAGACATTTGGAGAATTCGCAACCCGCGAGCCACTCGTTACTCATGGCGAAGAAGAAAACAGGCAAGCAGAATAGATTATTTCCTGGTATCCTTCTCTCTGCTGTCCAAAATTTCTAAAACAGTTATAGCAGACCGCTTTAGATCAGATCACAACCTTATAGGTTTGTCACTTGCTTTGTCTGATTATCCCCGGGGGAAAGGTTATTGGAAACTGAACACTTCATTACTGCTAGACTCCATGTATCTAAAAGAAACCGAAAAATTTATTAAGGATTTTTTCTTTGATAATATAGGTTCGGCGGATCCGCAAATAGTTTGGGATACTTTTAAGTGCTGTATCCGGGGTCATACCATTAGATATTCCTCATGGAAAAAAAGCCAATATACTGCTAAAGGGAAGGAGCTTACGGAAGAAATAAACGAACTAAAAGATAAGATAGATGATGACCCTTCCCCTTCCTCAGAATTCCTCGAGCAGTACGAGTGCAAACAAAAGGATCTTGAAATGTTATATCGCGAAAAGACAGACAGGCTAAATTTTCTATCTAGATGTAAATGGATGGAGTCAGGGGAACGATGTTCCAAATATTTTTTAAATCTCGAACACAGGAATTATGCTAGGAAAAATGTATTGAGATTAAGAGACTCTGATGGATGCGTCCTCACAAACCCTGATGATATCATTCGTATGGAAACTGACTTCTTTTCGACATTGTACTCATTTCAAGAACCTCCCACCCCTCTTACGGAGGAAACATGTGAAGATTTTCTTCCCAAAATTACCCTAAACGCCTGTCAGATGCACAAAGACAGGAATGTGAAGGTCGTATTTCAGAAATAGAATTGAGACAAGCAATCAAATCATTTAAAAAAGGGAAAACGCCAGGATCAGATGGCATTCCTGTTGAATTTTATGATGTCTTCTTTGATCACATAAAAGTTCCCATGTTAGAATGCCTAAATTATGCTTACGAACATGGCCAGATGTCAGGTACACAGAGAGAAGGACTTATATCACTACTTCTTAAAAAAGATTCGAATGGGAAAGATAAAGATCCATCCTCTTTAACCAATTGGCGTCCCTTGACGCTTTTAAACTGTGACGTGCGTATCCTGTCCAAATGTCTCGCTAAAAGAATGTGTAAAGTATTACATAGTATTATAGAAACCGACCAGACCGGCTTCATGCAGGGAAGGTACATAGGAGACGGGATTCGTAGAATCTTGGAAATCATTGAAAAATTTGAAAAAGAAAACTTACCAGGAATAATTTTTGTGACGGACTATGAAAAGGCGTTCGATAGGATCAGATGGGATTTTGTCTTAAAATCATTAGAATTCTTTAACTTTGGAGATTCTTTTCTCAAATGGGTACAAGTACTTTATAGTAATATATCTAGTAGAATCATCAATTATGGAAATTTATCTAAACCGTTTATGCCCCAGAGAGGGGTGCGACAGGGATGCCCCCTATCTCCTTACTTGTTTATTGTTGCAGTTGAACTCTTAGCTGTCAAAATCAGAAGTAACTCTGACATAAAGGGACTCATTACAAATGATATAGAATCCAAATTGGCCCAATATGCAGATGATACTAACTTTACTTTAGAACCCACACCAGTCACATTTAACGCTTTAACTTCAGACTTAAACAAGTACAATCTGAGATTTTATACCTCCGGGCTTTTTATTGTACAATGTATATTTTTCCATGTTGTTTGTTATGTGTAGTTGATGGTGTTGAATTTTATGTGTTAGATTTAGCGTTCCTGGTTGTGTTAATACAGGTCAACATTTTCATCTGCAGCCCATATCATGTACCCACGGTAAAAATGCATGTCGAGAACGTCTGAGACAGTATACCACGGTATTTGTATTAAGAAGTCGTAATATACGCCGAAAACATCCAAGATTGCGCAAGAGGGCGTTGACCCCTGACCCACTGGCCCACCCGGAAGTTGCTGCCACCGCCCCGTGAGCTCCCAGGACCGCGCGACCATTTTCACACTCTAAGGGGTGTCCGAGACACGAAAT